AAGATATGGTCCATATATACAATATAATACTACACTTGCCTCATAAAGGATGAATACCCAACTTTTGCATCAACATGGACAGGACTGGAGGATATTATGCTGAGTGAAATAAGTCAAGGAGAGAGTCAATTATTGTATGGTTTCACTTACTTGTGGAGCGTAAGGAATAACATGGAGGACATTAGCAGAAGGAAAGGATAAGTGAATTGGGGGAAATCCAAAGGGGAGATGAACCACAAGAGACTGTGGACTCTGAGAAACAAACTGAGGGTTTGGGAGGGGAGGGAGGTGGGAAGTTAGGCGAGACTGGTGGTGGGTATTAAGGAGGGCACGTGCTGCATGTAGCACTGGGCGTGGTGCATAAACTATGAATCTTGGAACACTGAAAAAATAAAATGAAGGAAAAGGTGTTATTTCCTTTCAATGGCTTCAAATAAAGCAGTATACAGTCATAACTTTTTAATACCCTATAATTTTTCATATTGTCCTGAATACAGATAAGAGGTTTCTAGGGAGAAGGATATATTAATTATTAATTCCAGCAAAAACTGCACTAGTTTCCTTTTATCCCAACCCATGCTCATTCTTGGATAAAACTTTGAAAATAGTACTGGGGTATGTGCATGAATATGGAACCCAGGAACTATGAATCTGAGAACTTATGTATACAACATTCTTTACCCTACATCAAGACAGAAAAAGAAACAATTGCTTCCCAATGAAAATTACTTTTCATTGATAATTGTATTTGGGAGAAGAGTAAGAATCCAAAATCTTAACAATTTTGGAACATCATGGTATTCCCAGGCTAAATCCCTCCTTCTGAAACATGAAACATGACTCTACAGAAGTAATACATTACTATGTAATCCAGCATCTTTTAAGTTTCAAGCCTTGTTCTTTGACCTTTTCTTAGTGAAATTTGTTCAAAAAGGTCTAACCATGCAGAATATCTATATTTTCTCTATAGTAAATTAATTTATTTCATCTTTTATAAGGCAACTCTTCTAACATACTCTGAATATCTGCTCGCTAAGGATTCCCTTCAACTCTTTCCCAAGTTGATGTCAATTCCTGTACCGTGAGATCCTATGGTTTACTCGCTCATTTTGATGCAGCACATTTCCTAAAGTTTCCAGAGAGACAATAAATGGGAATTATATTTGTATGATTTTTTGTGCATCCTATGTGACAATTTCATGTATATACTGAATAATTATTTTGTTAGCACATAAATTGCACTTAGAAATCATTTTCTCTGAGACAGCAGAAGACACTTGTTTCCTGTCACATACCTATGAGTTTTAGTTTCTCATTCTCTCAGGCTTTCAATTTTTTTGCTTCTCTTCCTTATCTTAGATTCCATCATGATAAACTTTGATGGGATCTATTTTATATTTTTCAATCAAATTCTCACAGGAAGTCTTTGCAAGGTATAAATTCACATTTAATTCTGAACATTTTTATCAAATTATTTCTCTGATAAATCTTTATTTCAAACACTTCATTTTCTCTATTCTTGTTTTCTCCTATGAAATGCCCCTTGGTCAGGGTTTCTAACTTCGCATCTTTTAATCCTATTTAAAAAGAAAGTCATGCTCTTTAATATGCATAACTTGATTTCATCTTATAAAACCAGATCAAAATGTTGTAAAAAGGCAGTATGAGAAAAATTCCAGAAAAAAAGTCATTGAAAACTAACAATAATGAACTGTAATGAAAATATCCTTAGGAAATTTCTATAGGAAATAAATGTTATTTACAATATTACAAGCAGCATGAAAATAGGCTCTAGAACTTCTAGTCTCCATGTTGCTTTTAGAATCTTATTGTATATTATTCATATTCTTTTTTTTTTCAGTTGAACTTAGAAGAACATTAAAGGTTTACTCCCTAACATAGCTCTCAAATTTGACTAAGATTACATGAACATACAAAGTAATTAATAGGAGCTGATTTTTTTACATCATTAGAATATGATGAAAAGTGTTCCACAATGATGAAAGGTATTTCCCTAGTAAAGACTCCATTATGTGTAATTTGCTAGATAAGGAAATATATATATGTACATTTTTACTGGGAGAAAAGTAACTCTTCTGAAAATATAATGTATTTGCAAAATTTTAAAGTAAATATACATGTGGAATTCAGGTGGAACATGGGGTTTTTTAAAATTTTTTATTTTTTCAGTGTAACAGTATTCATTGTTTTTGCACCACACCCAGTGCTCCATGCAATCCATGCCCTCTACAATACCCATCACCTGGAACATGGGATTTTTATGGCCTTGAAACTATTCAGTGTAATACATGTCATAATGCCTTGTCCAAACCCTTAAAGTGCAACACAGCACCCTTGAGCACTAATATAATGTATGGATTTTGGAAGATAATGATGTGCCAATGGAGAATTACCAAATGTAATATATGTACCATTTTGATGTGGGCTGTAGATCATGGGAGACCGTAATTTCTGTTCAGTTTTGCTATGAATCTTATGCTACCTGATAAAAACAATATGTGTACATTTTAATTTAGAATTGTTTTTATGAAAGGAAAACCTGTTTTGAAAATATGTTGCTTTCTCAAAAATTTAAAGCAAAAACATACAAGTCCCAGCAGCAAGAAGACTGTTCCTGTCCAACTCAATCTGGTATTATCAGCATATAAAATACTCAGGAAAATATTACATCTTTCTTGATTCCCTTTCTAAACATACTACAAACGTTACTATTCGTTATTAGTTTTTTTTTCCCATGTGATGAAATTTGATATATTAAAAAGGAGGACACCTGGGTGGGTCAGTTACATAAGGATCTGCCTTTGGCTCAAGCCATGATCCCAGAGTACTGGATCGAGTCCCACATCAGGCTCTTTGCACAGCACGGTGTGTGCTTCTCCCTCTACCTCTGCTGCTCTCCCTGCTTGTGCTCTCTGTCAAATAAGTAAAAATCTTAAAAAATATTAAGAAGAATCACAAGGGAGAGTAATTAAAAATTGTATCTCCTATATTAACTTGTACACTCATAATGAATCCACAGGGGCATAAAAATAAGTGTGACATGAACATTAGTGATTTCCAAAATTAGTAAAATTGGAAAACAGAAAACAACATGGCTGGATACAAAGTTCTTTATTCATTTTAGCCTTCTGAAGTGAAAGGATTATGATTAAATTTGTCATTTTTAATCATATCTCTGTACTATCTGACATGTTCTCATAGGCATAAACTGTTTTTTCTTGTGTGTAAGCACCAAGCATAATAACAGATTCCTATATATACATGAAAAAATTAGTTGTGATTATCCATCCTTCAAAAATATTAAATATTTAGATGTAACCTGAGCATTTACATCATCTGGATCCAACTTGACCTTCAGAGATCAAGAGAATCTCACATTACCCTGAGCAATTTAAGAATCTGACTGCTGTCACTCCTGGAATGTAAACTTCACCTCCACCCCCATTCTCGGGTCAAATATGAGTTATTACCCTCCTGTCAGGCCTTCCCTAAACTGGCAGAGGCAGAATTAAAAACAAAGCCTGTCTTCTCATCCCTTAATACTTTGATCACTAAGCCACTCATTTCATACACTTAAGGAATGGGTTTGGTCTCTTTTTTAAAGGCTGAGAGGAACATGTTGGACATATTTATCTATGGATTGTCAATGCCATGATTTCTATGAAAAGACAAAAAGTGTCATTAGGAAAGTGCTTTGGTGGATAGACATATGACTTCTTGTGACTTCTGTAACAACTTACCACAAACAGTGGCTCAAAGTGACCTAAATGTACATTCTCTCATAGTTCTGAAAGTCAGAAATTCACATGAGTATCACTGGGCAAGAATCAAGGTTGTGGCAGGGCTGTACTGTCTTCAGAGGGTTTATACTATCTTCTAGCCTCCAGTTCCATCTTCACATCCACTCTCTGTTCTCCTTGTGTGTGTGTGTGTGTGTGTGTGTGTGTGTGTGTGTGTGTATGTGTTTGGCAGTGGGGACTGCCTGATGTGGGACTCGATCCAGTACTCTGGGATCATGGCTTGAGCCAAAGGCAGATCCTTATGTGACTGACCCACCCAGGTGTCCTCCTTTTTAATATATCAAATTTCATCACATGGGGGAAAAAAAAACTAACTAACTAACTAACTAACTAACTAATATGGAACTCCCAAGGGGATGAAGGAGGTATTGTTGGGGGGGGGGTGTTTATGTGTGTAAGCTTCCCGAGCCTCTCTGATAACGAAAGTTCATATGGCATTTAAAACCCAGTCAGATCACCCAGGATGACTTCCTTCATCTAAAGGTCTCTCATAACATCTGCAAAGATGATTTTCATGTAAAGAAACATTATAATTCCAGACAAGAGGAAACTGATGATCTTGAGGGCCAAATTTTCAACGTACCACCGAGAACTGGAGTTAAAGGTACTGGATAAGAAGACAGAGTTGGTCAACTCCTTTGCCATCATTTCAGAAGTTCAGACAATGAATCACACTGGACACACAAGCAATTCATTGCCTATTTTGTACAAAATAATTTCCTAATCCTAGGCATCCATTAGTGCTGGTCTTTCTTATTTTCCTTTAATCTTGAGAGATACTTTCAATAAACACTTCATGCAACTATTTCATGACTCAATTTCACACTGTGGTGATTACACTCAGTGCGTAATTCTATCAGCCTTGTAAGGCCAGAGAGATAAATGGCCAGGGCTCTAATGATGACTGATGTGATTTTGAGACATCAGAGAGCAAAGGCTCACAGAGATCCAAATGTAGACAAATGCATGTATGTGCATTTATAATTGCACGTAATGTTTTAAAAATTGATTTATACAACAATGACTCATAGGTCAACATATTCAAAATTCAAATACTCCATCAAGTGTTTTGATGACTTTTACATAATAAAGTACATATTAAAATAATTATTTATCAAGGTAAAATTTTTATAATTTAAAAGTAAAAGTAAACACTATCGTTCAAAATTATTTGCTTGCCTTTTTAAATTCAGCTTTAAGAACACAGTGTCCAAGAGTTGACTGCCACTGAAGCTTCCTGCCACTGTGTTTGCTTAAGTAGAAATTTTTGAAATTTTCCTGAAGTTTTTCCATCTGGAGGAAAGAAGTAAAGAAACACTGATAAACTATATGCAAGTAAAGTCACAGTTGTAGCCCTAGACTGTTATATTTACAATTATATATTACCACCACACACAGAACTATATAAGGGACTTCTGTGGGGAAAAGACCAGGTGAGGAAAAAGGGAGTCCTCACCCCCCAAGATCAACAAATGCAAAGGATCTCGAGGCACTTAATTGTGAAACTGATAATCATAACTTTAGACAAGAGCTTCTGAGGGCAGCTAGCGGGGTGAAGGAAGGTCCATCAGAATAACATCAGACCTGTCCTGTCCACAGAATCCTGACAAGCCAGGAAGTGCTGGCAAGATATATTCAGAGCACTAAATGAGAAGAATCTGCAGCCAAGAATACCTTACCCAGCGAGGCTGACATTCAAAATGGATGGACAGATAAAGAGCTTCCAGGACTGGCAAAGTTTAAAAGAATATGTGACCACCAAGATGGCACTACAAGAAATATAAAGGGGGGGGTCATCTCCTATAAAATAAGAAAGAACTGAAGAGTGACACAGAACAGAAATTTAGAGACAATCTATAGAAACAAGGACTTCACAGGTAAGACAATGTCAATAAAAACGTATCTTTCAATAATCACTCTCAACGTGAACACCCTGAACACTCCCATAAAATGGCATAGGGTAACAGATTAGATAAAATGACAGGACCCACCTACATGCTGTCTACAAGAGACCCATTTGGAAACTAGGGATACATCCAGACTGAAAATGAAGGGATGGAGAAGCATCTTTCATGCCAACAGGCCTCAAAAGAGAGCTGGGGTAGCGATTCTCATATCAGCTAAATTAGATTTTAAACTAAGACTGTAGTCAGAGATACAGAAGGACACTACATGATTATTAAAGTGTATCCACCAAGAAGATCCAACAATTGTAAAAATTTATGCCCCCAATATGGGAGCAGTCAACTACATAAGCCAACTGTTAATCAAGATAAAGAGTCATATTGATATGAATAAATAATAGGAGATCACATTAATATGAATACATTAATTGTAGGGGCTCTTAATACGCCACTCTCAGTAACAGACAGATCATCCAGGCAGAAAATCAATAAAGAAACAAGAGCTTTGAATGACACATTGGACCAGATGGACCTCATAGATATATACAGAACATTCCACCCTAAAACAACAGAATAATCATTCTTCTCAGGTGCTCATGGAACTTTCTCCAGAACAGACCACATACTGGGTCACAAAACAAGGGTAAACTGATAACAAAAGATTGTCATCATTCCCTGTATATTCTCAGACCACAGTGCTTTGAAACTGGAACTCAACTACAAGAAACAGTTTGGAAGGAATTTACACACTTGGAAGCTAAAGAGTACCCTGCTTAAGAATGTTTAGATCAACCAGGAATTCAAAGTAGAACTTAAACAATTCATGGAGACCAATGAGAATAAAGATACACTGGTCCAAAACATATGGGATATGGCAATGGTGGTCCTAAGTTATCCCAACTTCACTTAAAAAAAAAATCCCAAATACAACAGCTCCCTTTCCACTTAAAGAACTGGAAAATGAAAAACAAATTAAACCAACCCCACACACAGGAAGGGAGATAATCAAGATTAGAGCAGAGATCATTGATCAAAGACACAAATGAAGTGAACAGAAGGGTAATCTGCACCCCAGTGTTCATAACAGCAATGGGCACAGTCACCAAACTGTGGAAAGCGCCAAGGTGCCCTTCAACAGATGAATGGATAAAGAAGAGATTGATCTATATATACAATGAAATACTACCCCTACATCAGAAAGGATGAATCTCCAACTTTTGTATCAACATGGATGGGACTGGAGGAGATAATGCTGAGTGAAATAAGTCCAACAAGGAGAGTGAATCAATTATGATATTGTTCACTTACTTGTGGAGCATATGGAATAAGACAGAGGACATTGGGATTTAGAGAGGAGAAGGGAGTTGGGGGAAATCGGAGTGGGAAACGAACCATGAGAGACTCTGGTCTCTGAGAATCAAACTGAGGGTTTTGGAGGGGAGGTGGTTGGGGAGCTGGGTGAGCTTGATGGCTGGTAGTAAGGAGGGCACATAATGCATTGAGCACTTGGTGTGCTGCATAAACAATGAATCTTGGAACATTGAAAAAAAATTAAGTAAAAAAAAGAAAAATTGAGTTCTGAAACAAGAAAAATGTAATTTTTCTTCTAGTTCAATACAGTATGTTCAATAATTTACATGTGCTCCTGAGGAAACCCACCAACATGGCAATATAATTACAAAAATTAAATACATGCAGAAAGACAGTAAAGATAATAGAAATCGAGTTGCCAGTATTAGTAAAAGGAACAACAAAGAGACAATGGGTAATTGACTTAGCAGAGAAGAGAAAGCTAAAACCAAGGCTGCAAGCTGTAAATGGGTGGCACCTGGAGGCAAGTCTCCATGCTTACTAAGTGCAACAATGAGTAAAACAATGTGATTACTTTTTCCATCATATGTTTATGTGATACATGAAGAAATAGTTTGTATTAAAACACGGTAAGAAAAATATATGCCAAAACCAGTAAATGCACAGACTAAAACAAAGGAAGACAGGTTGGTATATTTAAAATCTACCTCTGACTATATACTAAGACTGTTTAAACTACTGAATTACTTGAGCACTGCACTTTTTAACTGGTTGCCCTCCATTCTAAAACCTGAAAAACTACCTTTCAAAATGGAAAACATTAAGGTGATATTTACATTAGCATAAAGCATGGCATAAAAACTTAAAAGGTCACATTAAAACGAATCTGCTCAAAAGAGTTATTATAAGACCTAACCACAAAAATTTGGCAACAAAAATAAACAAAAGTCAACCATATTAGAAAGAAAAAAGCAAAACTGTCATTATTTACAGAAGGTATAATATTATATATAGAAATACAGGAAACCCTAAGGACTCTACCAAAAAATCTTTAGAACTAATTAATTCAGTAAAGTTGCAAGATAGGAAATTAATATAAGAAAGCACTTATTATTTTTACATTTTTTTTCTGGTTTTTCTTTTTAAGATCGCCTGGGTGGCTCAGTGGGTTAAAGCCTCTGCCTTCGGCTCAGGTCATGATCCCAGGGTCCTGGAATCAAGGCCTGCATTGGGCTCTCTGCTCAGCAGGGAGCTTGCTTCTTCCTCTCTCTCTCTCTCTCTCTGCCTGTTTCTCTGCCTACTTGTGATCTCTGTCATATAAATAAATAAAATCTTTTAAAAAAATCTGCTATAGCATATATTATAGTCTTAAAACAGTGAATTTCTTACCTCTGGGGGTAACTGGATCTCCTTAGGGATATAGGCTGGCCAAAAACTCGTTGTCAGAATATTCACAGTTAATTCAATGTTTCCGGGTATATTCTGATTCTGCATATACTGCAAAATATAAGGATGCAATGAAATAATAAGAATATTAAAACTCTTACATGGCTATAAATCTATATTAGGAATTCATTACTAAAAATAACCTTAATGATAAATTTCTCACTGAAATTAATAACCTGCTTTGAAAATGAAATGGACATTAGTATTCTAATAAAATGCTCTTAAGAGCATTTTGAGGGGCGCCTGGGTGGCTCAGTGGGTTAAAGCCTCTGCCTTCAGCTCAGGTCATGATCCCAGGGTCCTAGGATCGAGACGCATTGGGCTCTCTGCTCAGCAGGGAGCCTGCTTCCTCCTCTCTCTCTGCCTGACTCTCTGCCTAGTTGTGATTTCTCTCTGTCAAATAAATATTTTAAAAAAGAGCATTTTGAGCATTAAGAATTGGCTGCCTAAATTAATTAAAGTGAGAAGTAACTTTCCATTGTATTTTTTTAAATAATCCATCTTACATCAAAAAAGATCTGAGGCACGTTATGAAAATGATACACACACACTGCCAAAAAAACTTAAACTAATATATGAAAGCAATGGAAAGCCAAGTATGAGTAGGAAAATAAATTAAAAATAGTTATTTGAAATATGTTTTGTAGTTCTTTGAATATGCAGTGGGAAGGTTAAGTGTCACTGAGTTTCCTTTCTAAAAACACAAAGTTGGAGTCATAATTTAAAAATAATTGCTTTACCAGTTTGCCTCCCTCTCTGTTTTTATCTTATTTTTCCTTCCCTTCCCATACGTCCATTTGTTTTGTTTCTTAAATTACACATATGAGTGAAACCACCAGCGACAGTTTAGGGAACAAACTGAGTGTTGCTGTAGAGGAGTGGGGTGGCGATGAGATAACTGGGTGATAGACTTCAAGGAGGGCACATGATGTAATGTACACCAGGTATTATAGGCAACTGATGAACCACTGAACACTACCCCTGAAACTGGTAATACAACATTTAAAAAAAATGAATTTAAATTAAAAATTTTAAATATTATTATTTAATATGACTCTTAAGTATTAATCTTAAAAGAACCAAACCATTTAAACACTTTACATTAAAAACAAAACTTTGAGATAAAAAATACCTGTTTTAACTGAATCATGATATCTTTGGAAAGCTCCATGTCTTTAAACATTCCTTGAAGTTTATTAGTGAAAGCAGTTCCACATTCTGTAAAATATTTTAAAACAACCAATTATAGGTACATCAGAGAATACCACAGGCAGGGAACTCTGGGAGTCCATCTCCCTGAAATAAACACTGAGAAATATATAAGTGTCAGAATCTCTCTTACCAAAATTCTGAGAGACAGGTAAAGGTTTTTGTAAGCCAAGTGGAAACGTAACTGGTATAAAGGTAACATGAATATAAATATGCGGTATTTTTACCTCACTCCAATTCTACCCACTTTCCTGTGTAAGTGGATCTTGTTTCTGCATGATAGTTTAGGCTCCCAATGTGAATACCCAGTTCCCAAGAAACTGTGTTTGTTTGGATTGAATTCAGGTCTTCCAGAGTAACTGACTCAATGCAGACCATCTCCACAAAGTTTCCCAAAACATTCAAAGACAAATAAGAAAGCTTTTCATGGCTAAAATACAAGTAACAATTGGATGTGGGGGGGTGGAGAAAAAGACAGTCATCAGACTGGGAGGAGAAGCCGCAAGGTACAATTTTCAGGTATAAGACGTTTGAAAAGCATAGGCAAAGTAGGGAATCTAGTAAGCCCATTAGGGCTATTTGTAAGCCCAAATCAGGAAGCATTTTAGAAAAAATGTGTCAAAAGTTCTCTCCTATTTAAATTTAGGCTCAGTGAAAACAAGAAGCAAACATCAGTAAGACAAAATTGTACATACCTAAGAGTACAAAAAAAAATGACCCAACACAGAACCAATTTTAAAAGATCAACAGTTTTGTTTTTCTTTATTTTCTTGTGTGTGTGTGTGTGTGTGTGTGTGTGTGTGTGTTTATTTTTCTCATTCCAAGAGTTATAGAAATTCTGCCAGGCACTGGTACTACTGAGATACTGCAAAGGAGAATTTATTACTGCACACAAGAGGAAACACATTCTGAAAGAATACTTGGAAAAAGTCCCTAAACAAGTGAACAACTTCAGCTCACAAGCAACAACAACAAATGCTAGACAGAGAGAATATCTGCTTTCCAGAGTTGTCTTTTATTAATAAAATGTAAAATGGCTAGCGTAAGCCTAAGCTAAATGTACAAAGACTTTAGAGATCACACATTTTAAAAAAGAATAATGTTTTTATTAAAACAGGAAGAATGGCCAGTTTTTAACAAAAGCTACAAGACATACAAAAAAGTATAGAGATACGGCAATTCATAAGAAAAAGAGTAATTAACAGAGACTGCCTGAGAGGAAGCACAGACGTTAGACGTACTAAAAAATTACTTTAAATCAACTATCTTATATATGTTCATGGAAACAGTTCAAATAAAATTATCCAATCTGAAGAGAAGGAAGAAAAACAATAAAGAAAAACAAGCAGAAACTACATATATTGGCACATGGACAATTGTGTCAACATACAGTTCCTAAATTTCTAAGAGAGTGGAAAAAATAAAATGGGAAAAATAATATTTCATGTGTATATTAAATGACAGACAATAATCTAGACATACAAGAAGTTCAATGAATTCCAAGCAGATTACATTCAAACAGTTCTACACCAGGGCACATTATAATAAAACAGTCTAAACACAAAGATAAAGTTAGAATCCTGAAAAGACCTAGATACAAGTGATTTGTTGATAAAAAAAAGACTCTCAGTAAAATTAGGGGTATTTTCCAAAAGAAGGGACAGTGGCACAATATACATATAAAGTGCTGAAACGGAAAAAATCTCAAATACAAAATCTATATTCACCAAAACAATATATCAAAAATGAAGAAGACATTAAGGAAAAAAATGATGAAGGAGTTAGATTCAATTACCTCTATCCTACAAGAAATCTTACCAGACAGGAGATCAAAGCTCTAACAAGAAATAAAGAACATTGATAATATAATATTTTATATTTATAAAGATAAATATAAATGAACAGTTTTATATTTTTGGTTTGGAGGTCCTCTATCTCCTATTTGATTCATTGACAAAAGATAGATAGATAGATAGATACACACACACACACACACACACACATATATATATGCCATATTAATGTTATCTATATACATAATTCTACATATAATATGTACACATGTGTACAGTTACATGTACAATGTATATTACATGTGCACTCACACATATATTATACATTGCACATATAATAAAAGGATGTACATACACACATCGTATACATACACAAAACAGTACCTATAACATATTAGTACACATACAGATATATTAGACATGGTACAGACAACATACATATATAATATGTATATTTTACACATACTATGTCATAATGAAGCAGGAAGAAATTGACAAACTGAGTAGACCAATAACTAGTAATGAGATTGACGCAGTGATCAAAAACCTCCCAAAAAATAAGAGTCCAGGACCTGATGGATTCCCTTGGGAATTCTACCAAACATTCAAAGAAGAAATAGTACCTATTCTCCTGAAGCTGTTTCAAAAGTAGAAATAGAAGGAAAACTGCCAGACTCATTCTGGGAGGCCAGCATTACTCTGATCCCAAAACCAGGTCAAGACCCCATCAAAAAGGAGGAATTCAGACCACAATCCCTGATGAATATGGATGCCAAGATTCTATACAAGATCCTAGCTCACAGGATCCAACAACACATTAAAAGGATTATCTGCCATGACCAGGTGGGATCTATCTCTGAAATGCAAGGGTGGTTCAACATTTGCAAATCAAACATTGTGACAGAACACATCAATAAGAGAAGAGACAAGAACCATATGGTCCTCTCATTTGATGCAGAAAAAAAAAGCATTTGACAAAGTACAGCATCCTTTGCTGATTAAAACTCTTCAAAGTATAGGGACAGAGGGAACATTCCATCTATAAATAGCGAATATCATTCTCAATGAGGAAAAGCTGAGAGCCTTTTCCTTAAGATCAGGAACACAACAAGGACGTCCACCCTTACCACTATTGTTCAACATAGTACTAGAAGTCCTAACAACAGCAATCAGACAACAACAAAAAAAATCAAAGATATTCAAATTGGCAGAGAAGAAGACAAACTATCTTTCTTTGCAGAAGACATGATACTTTATACCAAAGACTCCACCCCCAAAGTACTAGAACTCATACAGCAAATCAGTAATGTGGCAGGAGACAAAGTCAATGCACAGAAATCAGTTTCTTTCTTACACACTAAAAATGAAACTGTAGAAAGAGAAACTAGAGAATAGATTCCATTTACAATAGGACCAAAATCCATAAGATACTTTGGAATAAACCTCACCCAAGAGGGAAAGGATCAATACTGGAGGACATACACTCCTGAAAGAAACTGAAGAAGACACAAAAAGATGGCAAAACATTCCATGCTCATGGATCAGAAGAATAAACATTGTTAAAATGTCTATGCTGTGCAGAGCAATCTATATTTTCAATGCCATCCCAATCAAAATTCCACCAGCATTTTCCTAAGTACAGAAACAATCCTAAAATATGTATGGAACCAGAGGAGACCCCAAATCACCAAGGAACTGCTGAAAAAGAACAACAAAGTTTGGGCATCATGTTGCCTGATTTTAAGCTACATTACAAAGCTGTGATCACCCACACAGCATGGCACTGGCACAAAAACAGACACACAGACCAATGGAACAGAATAGAGGACCCAAATATGGACCGTAAGCTCAATGCTCAACTAATCTTCAAAAGAATAGCCAATGGACAAACGACAGTCTCTTCAATAAATGATGCTGAGGAAATTGGACAGCCCTATACAGAAGAATGGTACTCAACCATTCTCTTACACCATACACAAAGATAAACAAACAACTCATGATGGATTAAAGACCTCAGTGGGACATAGGAATCCAACAAAATCCTAGAGGAGAACATAGGCAGTAACTGACATCAGCCACAGCAACTTCTTTCGAGACACATGTTCAAAAGCAAAAACAAACTTTTGGGACTTCATCAAGATCAAAAGTTTCTGCACACCAAAGAAAACAGTCAACAAAACAAAGAGACAACCCACAGAATGGGGGAAGATATGCGCAAATGATACAAAAGACAAGGGGCTAGTATCCAAGATCTATAAAGAACTTCTCCAATTCAGCACCCAAAAAACAAATAATCTGGTCAAAAATTGGACAGAAGACATGAACAGACACTTCTGCAAAGAAGACACACAAATGGCTAACAGATGCATAAAAAAATATTCATCATCATTAGCCATCAGGGAAATTCAAATCCACCTAACCACAGTTATAATGGCAAAAATCAAGAAGGTAAGAAACAAGTGTTGGAGATGATGTGGAGAAAGGAGAACCCTCTTACACTATTGGTGGGAATGCAAGTTGGTGCAGCCACTTTGGAAAACACTGTGGAGATTCCTCAAAAAATTAAAAATAGAGCTACCCTATGACCCAGCAATTGCACTACTGGTTATTTACCCCAAATATAAAAAGGTAGTGAAAATAAGGGTCACAGGCACCTCAGAGTTCATAGCAGCAAAGTCGACAATAGCCAAAGAAAGAGCTCTGTGGAAAGAGAAAGAAAGTCGACAATAGCCAAAGAAAGTGCTATGGAAAGAGCTGAGATGCCCTTCAACAGACACATGGATAAAGAAGATGTGGTCCATATATACAATGGAATATTACTCAGCCATCAGATAGGATGAATACCCAACTCCTGCATCAACATGGATGGGATTGAAGAGATCATGCTAAGTGAAATAAGTCAAGCAGAGAAAGGTGATTATCATATGGTTTTACTTATTTGTGGAATGTAAGGAATAGTATGGAAGACATTAGCAGAAGGAAGAGAAAAATGAAAGGAGGGAAATCAGAAGGGGAGACAAACCATGAGAGACTATGGACTCCAGAAAACAAACTGAGGGTTTTAGAAGGGAGGAGGATGGGTGAGCCCTGTGATGGGTATTAAGGTGGGCATGGATTGCATGGAGTACGGGGTGTTATATGCAAACGATCAGTCATGAAACACTACATCAAAAATGAATGATGTACTGTACGGTTACTAAGATAATTTTAAAAAAT